TAATGAGGTGCCATCATTTTTTGAGAATGGATACACTGAACAGTGTAGTTGTACTGTCCTTAAGGATAGCTAGACTATAGACTCTCTGGAAAGGAGTTTAGACCCTGTCAATGTGAATATACTCTTTAGCTGAGCAGATAGTCCAGCTTATAAATTCTGTGGCCAGCTGGCAGATTGAAAACAACTGAGCAAACCCTTTATAGAGAAAAAATATGATCTGTACAAAATGTTAACATGAAAGCTTAGCCATGCTTGTAGCATAACATATAAATTGACAGCTGAGTAGTTAGTTATGACTCCCAAGCTTCCAAAACTTGTAGTTAAATCCCTACATGTATTTTGTTGCTACACTATACTTCTCAATTAATGGCTATATTAACTACTCTAAATGAAAGAAGCAGTGTTAAGCCCCTCAACAACAAAGCTTTTCAGTATGCATTGAAATTTCTCTTGAGTCTGTCTGAAAAGACAGTGTAAAAACATGGGAATCAAGAGAGGAAATGCAACCAAAATGTTGTCTGAAATGAAATGAAAATGGTACATAGAATATCTGAAGTTGGAAGGGATGCTGGCAGGTCACCTAGTCCAACCCCCTGCCCAAAGCAGGGCCAACTACAACATGTTGACCGTGGATGTGTCCAGTTGGGTTTTAAATGTCTCCAAAGATGGAGATGTCATAGGGTTTCTGGGCAGACCGATCTGGAAGTCTTTGATCACTCTCACAGTAGTAAAATTTCTTACATTTAAACTGAATATCCCGTATTCGAATTTGTGCTCATTGCCCCTTGTCCTGTCACTAGGCACCACCGAGAAGAGCCTATCTCAGTCTTTTTTTACCCCTGCCCCAACATATGGGGTAGGGGGAATAAGAGGATCTGGAAATAATACTCACTGGTTGTGAACTATAACTTAACTATCTGCATTAGACTTACACAAAGTATGGACAACATCCAGACAAAGGCCTTTCTCCACATACTTGTGTTTAGATACTATTTCTCAACATCCAGGAAAATATATTGTATATGTATGTATAAAAATAATCTATATTATATACACCATAGAATATAAATAGAAAGCTTGCGGGCTTCCTAGGTAAGATGAAAGGTGCCATGTGTATGACAGAAATAGGCAGTAGTCATTTACAGAATTTCACTCTTCAGTAACTAAAAAGGATGTTTCAATAATTAAAAAGATAGTTTAAGTAAAACTAACTTTCATATTTTATTCAAAGTCTCTTTTGATTCTATTCTAGAAAACATGTCAGCTTCCTTTTGGTTTTATTCTTTGTGTCTATCCAGTAATGTTTGTATTTACATTTTCCAGTAAAAAAATAAATTATCTTGAGAATATATAATTACTAAAAATTACTATTTTTCACCAATAAAAATACTCCAAATACAACATTGAACTAAGCAGTTTTTCAATGTTTTAGATTTTAGTGAGGTTTTTTGTTTGCTTTTCAGCAGGGTGTTTGGTTGGTTGGAGGGTAAAGGAGAGGGCTGTTTTGGTTTTTAGATAGAAACTCTATTCCTAATGTAATGCTCTTCCTTTATCCTGTCACAGTATCTATATTAATGAAAAAAACATGGCAAAAGTAGTCCACCACACTTTGTGTTAAGGTTTGATATACTGTACACAATTTCCAGTATTTTAAAATACATTAGGATATTACAGAAAGAAGGGGGTTATATAAAATAAGAGAAAAGACATTTTGGTTTTCCACAAGAGCTCTACACTCCTGACAGATGCAGCCTTCCTTGTACCATGACATTTGTTTATGAACCTATAGAGAATGAGGAGCCATGGAAGTGTTCTGGTTAATACATATGTCATAACTACATCCAGGTAAGAAAGAGGACTGCACCCATAAATGAAGAGAGAGAGTAGTGTGATAATTCACATTGTATTTAGAACAAAGGGAACTATACTAATACTATCAAATAACACTGCATAGAAACTTAAACTATATTGATTTCTTCAAGAAATTCCTGAAGAGTTGCAGGAATGTGGTTAGCAATACAATTAGCTGGCTCTGTTCGATACGAGATTTTTTTTTCAGTTCAGCTGTTAAAAAAGTGAAATTCCTTTAACAAAATCCTCCAGAGGTCAGCTTTGCTAAGAAGTGAAACTGTCAGGCTTCTCATCCTTGCTTAGTAATTGCGCACTTGATGCAACTGTAAAATGTATCCGTTGCTGCAAGCTGTTCTTTTCAGTGAAGTAAAAGAGAAAATTTTCCAACTATTTGCAACCAACAGATCATTAAAAACAATCCCATACATACAGCCACCAGAAGCATCTAGTGTTTTCCTGACTCCTTTCTGCAAGCTTCAATTACTCTTTTTAACTTTAGAGTAAAAAGACGTTCTACACACAAATTTTAGGTTACATAATAATGCTTTGGAAGAGCCTGCACACATTTCTTTAAAGTTTGCCAAGTCTTTAAAATGTCACTGACACAATTTTAACACCAAAAGTATCAGATATTTCTATACTCATTACACTTTTCATACATTCATTGCATCCTCTACAGGCTAATGCAGTTTCTAAAAAGAAAAAAAAAAAGTAGAAAAAAAGAAATCTGTGAGGACCACCTAAAGGTATAGGAAATCAATAAAAAGTAACTGTCTGGCTTCAGACAGTTTTCAGATGGGAGAAAATGCAAACCTGTATAAACCTATATATTTCATAATGAAATATAACTACAAAGCTCTAACAGAGAACAAAAAGTCAAAATACCTGTTTCCTCACAGACAAACACTGTGGTTCATGAACTCTGTGGGCCTCAAATATCAGGCAGAGCCATAATACTTCTTTAAAAGCTAAAACAGGTAAAAAATGTCCAGCTTCAAACAGGACTACAAAATATTTTGGACTTGAGTAATGTTGTCAAATCGTAAGGGAAGAATTGGAACAAACTAACTTAGATTCCAGTTGGATAAAAATCTTCCAGTCTTCTTGACAAGTCTTTCAGGGAAAAAAGGACAAATAATGAGCAGTTCAGCAGCAGTCTCTACTCACTGTCACTGTCACTGCCACTGCTGTATCTCAGCAGCAGCATCTGTTTTTACACAATAAGTAAGAGACTTCCAGATCCATGTTTTTAAGAAGTGGCCCAAACTAATTTACTTCAACCATCTGAAAGTCTCAAAAGCTGATAAATTGTTTTTGAGAAGTATTCCAGTTTGAAATCTGCTATCTTCTACCAGCCTTTGTTATATCATGCTCCTTGTTTAAAATAAAACTAGATGATGACACTACATGCCCAAGGATTTCTCTGCTTTCTTGGCCTCTGCAGGACACACTCTCTCTCTTCTACCCAAAGACCACTGAGCAACCTTCATCCTCTCAGCTGTACGTGCCATCGTTAGCATGCGGGACTCTCACCCTTGCAACCCAGGTTCGAATCCCAGTCCCCCGGGCAGATGGAGCCCGTTAGCCCTGTGAGGCCATCCATCTAAGAGAAGGTCACTCTAAACAAACCTACGTCCTGAGGACCTCACTGCCATTGTCCAAGCTCGCTTGGCCCCGGCAGATGAACCTTAGGATTAAAGGGTGGGCTCAGTTCAGCGCAGGCTGTGTCTCACCTAAAAAATCCATTGCGCAGGCTGGAAAGGTAAAAGACCTTTCCCAAAATCTTCGTTTACGAAGACTGGCCATTACATGCCATCGCTTTTCCCTCACCATATTGAGGAGGGTTCAAAATCCCCATCCCCCATTTCCCCCTCCATCTGCTTCATACTAAGTTCATCCAGTCTTCCATCCCATCTGTCATGCCAGAACCCTGGCCCCCTTTTTCATCCCCTGTGTAGGCTTATGCACACCTGAATCATCTCCCCACACTGCCAAATCATTCTTTTCTTGCAGACTTAGAAACAAATCACTATGCGAGTTAACATTTTAGAATCAAAAAGGGGATAGTGAGGCTTTTAATATGGAAGGTAGCCGTTCATTCAAGGTAATCACTGACTGGTTTATCTTCTATAGTCATAAAGAGACAATGAAGTTGATGGTGCAACTATTCCTCTGCTCTTCCAGTGATCATCAAAGTGACTAAAATTCCACCCAGAAATGCCTGAAAGAACTGTTAAAATTGCCAGATTGATTAGTGCTTCTAGAGTTACTATACCAGAGACTTCCACAGAAAAGCCATTCAAAGCAAATGACCATTTCAATCAGCCAAAAAAGGAAAAAGATAATCAAATGTCAAAATATTTCTGGTTTACATTGCTGTCAATTCAAGCCCAAATATAAAAATAATGGTAATATGCAAAACTTCCATTCTAACAGTCATCAGTCATTGTTCAATAATTCTCTACAGTTTTAAATCACATGTTTAATAATCATGTGGGAGCATGGGCAATATCATAGAAAAAGTATCAAATAAATGTGAGTTAAAATTACACAACTGAACAACCAGTAATAACATCTTATTTAAATTTAAATAGGCAGTTCTGAAAAAGACTAGGGGAGAAAAATATCTAACTCTTCAATGGGAAAATTAACTAACAAAACATACACTTTAAAGTTTCTTGCTCTCACCTTTATTGTAGTTAGTATATTAATCAAACTACAACTGCAAAACAAGATTAAATTATGAAAAACTCTGCCTCAAAGAACTGATGATTCAATCATCAGGGTAGCATTTGAGGAAGTTAAATATTAAATATAAAATAGATAAATAAAAGCCTCCACTGCCACCTTCCTTCTCTTCTGAAGAGAATATCATTCTGAAGCTATCCATCTGTGAAATATGTGAAACCTATCAAATTGCTGGAAAAAGGAAGGATAAAAAAATGGGATGCACTCTAAGTTTGTTCTGCTGATTTTTTCTATCTAAGCATCTGCTATTGGTCTCTCCTGGAGATGGGATACAGCATAAACCTCACAGCTATTCTGACCCCCCTAGTACAGACATTCTCATGTCACATTAGGGCGAAAGAGTTTGCTTTCTCTGAGCCAAGTTCCTTGACTAAAAAGAGGAAAGAGAAAGGTAACAGCACACCAAAGAAAATTTGTTTGTAGCTCCTATTCTGTGCAGATCACGGCTTGCACCCAGCTGTCTGTAGAAGCTCCCAGCAGAAGCTGAGACCTGCACTACCAGGGCTGTCCTACTGTCTGCTCACACTCCAACTTATGGAAAAAAGGGTGGATGTAGCCACGTGGAACCTTGGAACCTAAGTTACCATGTTGTCCTACAGCAACTTCGGCACCAGCAACACCCAGAGGCCTGACAAAGCTCCATACCATGCTGCCAATCCAAACACAGAGGGTAGGACAGCAACAGGATTCACATCCCTGTCTGTTCTAGTTCCCACCTTCTTCCCCAAGACCCCATGTCTCAGTTTAACAAGATTACAAGTTTGAAATTAGGCGGCTTCAAGTGAAAAGTGTGGAAAAAGAATAGAACAGCTCTTTATTAACAAAATCCGAATAAACAACAAATGGTGCAATCAAAATTTTCAAAAGTAATAAAGTCCCAATTCCCCAGGTGGGGGGAGGGACGGGAAGGGCTGAAGGCAAAAACTGTTCCCGGCAGCTCAACAGCTGCTCGCAGCCACGTGAGCTGCCGGCGGCTTCGCAGTCAGCAATGAAACAGTCCTTTTTTTCACAAGCAATCCCAGGTCAGCTCTGATAATGCAGCCTCACGCCTCGAGGGCAGAATACCTCGCTCCGAGGTGGGTCGGTCGCTCCCTCTCAGTCATCCTCCACGAGGTGTCCGGTGGGGAAAAACTTCCCCTCAGGAAAAAAGAAAAGCAGGCGACCGAAAAAAAAACAACTGAAAAGCAGCTCCCGCTTTGTCCGTCGGTGAAAAACCCAGTCCTCCGGACAAAGGACTCCCGAGGCGTGGCCCCGGCCCGATCAGTTTCGGGGACCTCCCCGTCCCCCCGCTCCCGCGCTGCCCAGCGCAAGTGTGCTTTGCCATCCTGTAAATCTATACAGTGACTTAAATAACAAGAAAAGTCCTATTTTTCCTAATTCGTGCTTTGATAATGTTAATGTCACCTTTGGCTTTATGGTGAAAAAATAAATATGGTAGACTTTTCCAAGGATTTTACTTTTTAAAAAGTCCCAAGAAAGTCAGGAAAACACATGGGGTTACAAATTTGTATCAGCATTTATTTGGGAGGAAAAAAATAGCCACTCATAATGATGGCTTAATGCTGCCTGTTTAATTGATGAGGCAAATCTATTAATCTTAAGTTTTATATAAAAAAACAAGCACTGATTTACAGCAGACACATACTTCTGTGTATTGCTATATACACATAGCACAAATCTTTCATTTTTAAACCCAGGTAGACCAAAAGATACAAACCAGAAATCCATCATGCACTCAGAACAAAATATTATCCTGGATTTGACAACGGGTGGGAGTAACAGCATACTTGTGTTTGTCTGGCTTTGCGTGCACAGCAACACAATACAATACACAGACTAAGGAAAATTCATCCTTGGTTGTAAAAAAAAAAAAAAATTATTCATATGACAAGTTAATTTTTATAGAGAAAATAAGATAATTATTTGGGTTCTTTAGAAACGTGTCTAAGTGGTAAAGTCCATGACAGATTAATGGGCAAAATACAGCAGGACAGCTGGGAGTTTACAGTAAATGAAGTATATAACATATCTGACAATTTTTCTACGGCACATAGCACATATATACGTATATGCTCATTTACAAAGCCCTAGTGGTTGAATTAAATTAAACCATTTTCTAACTCCTAAATTGGCCAATTGTAAGAAGCTTGGCTGTCAGGTCTATTTTAAAGGAAGATTCATTAAGCAGTAGCCTCCATTTCTTTCTTTGCAAGACAACATGAGATGCAGTTAATGATTTGAAAAAGAATCTGTAGGCTGCAACTAATGATCCATTTGGGTCAAAGTTTCTATTGAACCTGTTAGTTCCATTTACAAGAGATTTCCATGTCTTGTACAAAAGATGTTTACATTTCTTGGTGGATGTCCTTTCAACAACAGCCCACTGGATCTGCTGAGACTCCATATCACATGAAACTTGCATATCCCAAGAAATATACATATTTTTGAGTGTCCTAATCAAAGACCCAGATAGTAAAATTGTTTAAATTTGTTGACATACATGGCAGTGCAATCTAGTACTTCACTGCTTGGAAAGCACTTATTTTTCCAAAGTTACTTTGTCTTTTGTATACACCTAGATACCTAGTGGTTTTGAATATGCTAACTGCTTCGAGGCAGAATAATACAAAGCTGGTTACATAATAAAGAAGGAAGAGAGTTATGATGAGGAGAAAAGTGTTGATTAAACTGGCATAAGCAGCCCAACTGTTAAATGCAGATCCACAACAGAAACACAGTTTCCTACAACTCCAACTAGAGAACAGACATTGAAGTGATCCTGAACTTGCATGGGTGGAGACGGAAGAGTAAGGAGAGCTGTAACACAGCAAAAGATCAGATGAAGCAGAAGGGTTGCTACTATTTTTATTAAGTAGAATACAGCAGGTAAACATTTTCCCATTCATTTCCAAAGCCATATGTTCATAGACACACGTGCTCTGAGGAAAGGCTTTTGTTTTAAGAAGCCACTAAATTTCCGTATCTAAACACTATCACATTGCTCATTATGTCTAACATCACATTTTTGACAGATTTCTTTAACTGGGAGCCTGGCTGGCAAAGCAGCATTTAATTCTGTCTCCTTTTCCAATATTCTTCAAAGCTACCTGATGAAATAACACCAAAATTCCTCAAAAATCAAGTTTTTATACTCCTTCATTCATTGGTGTTGCCATCAGATATCACATATATATACATATGTACACATACAGTCTCGATAAATTTCACACCAATTTCAATGTCAACATTTCAGCCCAAAACCCCCACAAATTTTGCTGCAACACTGCTAACCTTTTTACTTTAGTGAAACCAGAAGCAGAAAAAGCAACAATTTTAAAAACAAAAATGACTCTAGAAGCCACTTGTTAAAAGACAGCATTTGTTTTGATAGGTAGATTTCCTACCAGATTGTTATGAAAAACTTTCTGCAAATAGTTTGAGGGTTTTTTCAGAGGACATAACTTTGTTATTTTCATTTGTTCTCTCTTGTCAAAATATGTCTTTTCAAATTTTCAAAGCTTTCCTCAACTGATAGCTCTTCAACCCAAAACAGCAGTTTGTTCTGCTCTAGAAAAATAGATTGCATGTCCCTGTGAAGTGTAGTTATTTACAGTATCAGATGAAATGCATATACGAATCAGTTCCAATCTAAGGAATCTGTTCCAAGTAGGCAGTTTTCTTTCCTGAGGATGAAATAATTGATGCAAAAGAAGCAGTGGCAGTGGTAGAGCCTCTTTTTTACTGAATAAACAGAGTTGAGTTAAAGGATGGCAACTCTGTCAAATCACAATAGGACAGCCTAACTAGAAGGAAAAATTAGATGGAAGTTAAATGTTTACTTTCCATTTTTCTTCATTTTGTTATATGTCAGCTGGAAAAGAAATTCTGGCTGTAACACATGGCCTCATTACCAGTTAGAATTACTATCTTCTTTCCCACATTTTTTCTACATTATCGCCCTTTCAGTTTCTGATAACTACCAAATATACAGTTCTTCTACAAAATAGCCAGGTCAGACCACTCGCAATTTCAATAAATTGAAGGATTATGGACTGAGCTCCTGACAAAATTGTTGATTGCCCTCCTATTAAGATTCTCATCTGATATAAATGATCCTGAACTTTATATCTCAACTTTCACTGGGTTTGAGCATACTTACAGTCTGCTTCCTCTTAGGGGATGCTATTAACAATCATTACAAACAACTTCTCAAAAGGAACATAACATATCCTAATACTCTGGAGCATTGCATCTGCATGTTGCAGGTACCTCTATTCTAAATTATCCTCCCACTCCACTATTACCTCACCTCCCACTCTTTGCAATAAAAACAAGATTTGCTTGATTTATAAAGGAAGTAAACATTTCAGTAGTTTATAATAGCATAAAATGGACTGAGCATGGTTCAGTGATACATCTGCACAATTGCTTGATCTATAATTTAACCACATTGTATTATTTCAGCTTTACACTTTAATTGGCTTTGAAAGAAAGGTAGGGAAACTACATTTTTATGCCGTTTATGTAAGATGGAGTCCTGATATTTTCTAACACACAAAATGACATTTGAAATACTGAAAAAAGGTAAGTCTCAGAAGACACCAAATGACTGAAGACTGCCATTATTCAGGCTCAACAGGAATCTCATTGTCTTCTTTAGATTTGTATGAATAAATGAAGATCTCCAAGACTACCATTCACCTTGTATAACTTATTTTACTATACATATAGTAAAAACCCCAAAATATTACAAATTTCCCAGACCAGTTTGTTCCCAAGACATCCACGCTCTCACACATTTTTACAAGTTTTCTCAGAATTAAAAATAAGAAAATCCAACTAAACCTCAGTCCATTAAAATAGATTTTTCAGCTAGATCAGTCCCTTGTTCTGTTCACAATGAAGCTACACAACGGTGGGTGCATTAACCAAGTACGGATATGGGATGTCTGAAGAGAAAAGCAAAAGAGCAGGAAAAAGAAATGAGGAAGGGTCACAGGGGGAGGAGGAGGGTGTGAGAGAGAGGAGAGAAAAAGGAATAGCACAGTGCTGTGCTTTTGGTGGCAGTGCCAGCTTACAACCTTGAGGAGTTCACAGAATCAGTTTCAAGTCAGTGCTTATTTGTGGTCCTGCTTCACACAGCTGTTTAAAGCAAGTTTTGATGGATAATTATGCTTCCAGTAAAACTATCCTCTGGGACTGGATGTCCAGGATCTGCTAGTCCTTCCCTAGTAGACTTTGAGACACAGACCTGTGGAGTTCATCCTGACCAAGTCCTCACTCAAAGCCAGGCCAAATTTTGTGCTGCATCAGGTCACTCAGGGCCATGTTCAGCCAAGTTTTGAATGTCTCTAAAGAATCAAAGAGAGACTGATACTGTGCACCTGCAATTTAGGAGAATACCTGCTGCATGCCAAATGCAGGTTAACCATTTGCACCAATCCTCCATTTTAATAGTTTTATTTATGCTCACTTATTTAAAGATTCCA